CTGAGGGATGGAGCCCAAGGACAGAGCTCTCATGCCACCAGCCATCACAGGGACAGGCCTGCTAGGAGCTCCTTCAGAGACCTTGAGTCCTTTGGAAGAAAGTCACCAGGGGAGCTCAGGCATCAGTGAGTCACTGTGACCACCCGTACCCCGCCATGAGAACAGCCAGCCCGTTTGCAGGAGGGGAGCATTCTCGCCTCAGCCAGAGCCTTGTGAATGCTGAGGCTGTGGAATCCATCAGGCATGTGGCATTGAGGTGCAAGGGTAGAGTGAGGGCCCTGCCAAGATGTGGGCCCCACCCCACCAGGTGGAAGGGGGTGCTCCCCAGCGATGGTGGCCGCGTAAGCCACAGCAGGAGTGATTTCTCGGCCTGAAACGAAGAGACCAGTTTGGAGTAGAGGACAGAGGAGAGGAAGATGTGCAAACAGGATGATGGCAGGACAGGGGTGTCACCAACTGTGCCAGGCACAGTGTGCAGCACCCCCAATCCTCCTAGGCTCCTGGGCTGCTGCCAGCCACCACCATATTGCTCAGAACGCCGCCTAGCGGTCCCCAGGGGGAGCTGGCAGAGGTGCAGGGGTGTCACTCCCTCACCTATCCCCAGACTACCTCAGAGGACCCTGGTGGAGGGGTGTCCCCACCCTGGGCAGGGGGCTCCGACGTGCTTCCCAGAAGCACTGGAGCCCCGGAGCCTGTGAGCTGAGTGGATGGGAGGCAGCAGCTCAGCAGCGGCCTGACCAGACAGGGACCTCGGTGGGGCCTCCATACTGTACGTCACTGAATTCTCTTATGAAGGGCGGGAGGCTGCGTTAACACGTCCTGTTGAAAGGCTCGAACGCATAGACATGCCCATCAAGGGCAGGCAGTGACAGTGCCATTCGACGGAGTCTCTGTGGCCATAGAGCTCAGGCCTGGGTGGTGCTCGGGCTTCTGGGAGTCAGTTGTCAGAGTCAGCAGATCCCCTTTAATGACCTGTCCCTTTGTGTCATTTGCTCTGAAGATCAACACTCAGAAGCAGTGAGCTCTGAAGGGTTCGGGGCCTGGGGGTGGTGTCCTCCAGGGCAGAGCCAGCCGGGCGCCCTCCCGCCTCCCGCTGCCTGCTCAACCAGCCCCCCTCCCTACTCTTCCTGGGCCTCTAGCACCAAACACGTGCTCCGCCACATCCCGCAGTCCTGCTAGTTTCAGCTTCAGAGGCTCCAGCGTTGGGGTTGCACCCCCACACCCCCATCCACCTGTGTTCAGGCGAGCTCTGGGGCGTCTCCACACAAGAGAGGAGGTGTGACCTCTTTTCTGGGACACCAACCCAGACCCCAGCGTGAGCCTAGCACCTGCTGAGTCCCCTCCAAGGGCCTCTTTCTGCAGATTGTGAAAGTGCTTCCACTAAAACCAGACGCCTCACAAAAGCCCCATGACACAGATCAGAATCCACCTGGCTCCCTAGACCTCTCTGCACAGTTCCACACGTAAGGCGAATTTCGGGATTAAGGTGACCTAGGCCACCTGTCCCTTCCCACCAGTAATTTTCCATTCCACAACTATGCATCTCCCCGTTGCCCACGGGGACCTGCCCTGAGCAGCTGTGGTCTGAGGTCAAGGAGGGTCAAGGGGCCAAGCCCAGCTCTAGGAGAGAGACAGCTGCCTGTGAGGCAGAAAGGCGTGAGGGCTTCCCTGGGAAGGAGAGGAGAGCGGCTTGAGTTGGGCCGGCAGTGACTTCCGGCTGAGGGATGGAGCCCAAGGACAGAGCTCTCATGCCACCAGCCATCACAGGGACAGGCCTGCTAGGAGCTCCTTCAGAGACCTTGAGTCCTTTGGAAGAAAGTCACCAGGGGAGCTCAGGCATCAGTGAGTCACTGTGACCACCCGTACCCCGCCATGAGAACAGCCAGCCCGTTTGCAGGAGGGGAGCATTCTCGCCTCAGCCAGAGCCTTGTGAATGCTGAGGCTGTGGAATCCATCAGGCATGTGGCATTGAGGTGCAAGGGTAGAGTGAGGGCCCTGCCAAGATGGGGGCCGCACCCACCCCGGGGGAAGGGGGTGCA